CTTGCGTGGTTTTGGGGGGGGGGGGAATTAAATGAGATAATGCATGGAAAACTCTAAGCATAGTCCCTGGCGTCTAATCACCGTTCAATAACTGTCAACAAATTTCATTAAACGGCACTTGTCTAAACTCCCCCAAAGGGCAAGTGGATAAGCCAACGCTAAAATCCAGGCCACTGCTCCTTCTGCTATTTCAGAAGCTGCCAGTGACAATGGACATTCACCAAGGAAAAGGAGCCAGCCTGGGGACCGTATCCAGAGAGCTTGGTCTTTACTAAGCTGCCTCTGCCTGGGTAGGATTCACTGTGACGAAGAGACGTGGTATTCTCATATCTGCACAAACTCTGCCAACCTCTCAGGCTGCCGGAGCCTCAAGGAGAGCCCCAGGGCTGCCCTGGGCAGGACCTCCAAGAGATGCGTCTCCGTTAAGCTCCTCAGGGCCTCCTGACATACCACCCACAGCCTTGTCAGAGGGGCACAGACTTCTGTCAGACACGATCTAGGACTTCAGAGGCAGGACTCCCAGTCGGATGTTTTATTATTTATTGACTTGACAGGAAATATACATTTGGTCCCATGAGACACCATGCTACCGGCTTAACGAGTTGCCATTACACAACAGAGCTCCTGGGGGTCCTCAGGAAGCTCTTGCATGGCCAGCCGAGGTCGGCTCAGTCACCGCAGGCAGGAGCTCTGTCCTGAGGAAGAGACCCACCGCCCGACCCATCCTGGAGGAGCCTCTGTCCCACAGCTCTGCGGAGCCGCAACATTCATATACGTTGGGCATCATCAAAATAAAGGTCATGCTGGTTGTTCGGAACTAGAAGGTGCTCTTAAAACCATGGCGTAGCGGACAACCTATGTACATTACAAATATATAAATTAAGAGGTCTACACGTATACAAAATCTGTCAAAGGGGACCTAATCGCATTCTGTATCATGCCAGGTATCTTGATGGAGCGGGTATTAAAAATAGAAGGTATTTATACACAGGCCCTGCCCCTCTCGTGTCCTCCGTGGAACCCTCTGGTGTTGTCAGGGCCTCTGGGCAACCTTAGCACCCCCACAGGTAACCCATCGGCAGTCTGCATCCTCCGAGACAGCAGGGGACTTGCCCCGGGGCTCTTCTCCTGTGTCCCCATCTCGGCCTGGCGGCGCCTCCGAACCCAGGGGCTGCCGGAGGGAGTGATGCTGCTGTCGGAGGAATAATCCGTGCACTTGCGAAAGACCTCAGGGCTGGCGCTACAGTTCAGCCTCCCTTCCTCGGCCAGAGGGGATTTTCTGGAAACGCCTTTGCGTTGAGCCAAGGGGCTGCTCCAGGGACTGGAGCAGGGGGAGGCGTTGGGGCTCAGAAAGAGATTCTGGTGGCCAGCAGGGCTGAGCTTGGTGGTGACCACGTGCCGCCGGCCGGCCATGGGGGACGTGGGGTTGCTCTCGGGGTCGGAGGAGCTGTTGGCAGAAGACTCGTCACCCATGTATTGAAGCTCCTCGACTCTCTTGTTTAGGGACTTGTTCAGGTGGATGCTCGCGGTGGGCTCCTCATCCTGGTTCTTGTCTTTGGGAGGTTTCTTTTTGGGTGGCTTCATCCCAATCAGGACGGCTTTCATGTTCTCCCTGCCCTGAGATTCCGTGACCATGAACTCATGCGCTCTGATGGCCGCCTCCACCTCCTCGAATTCCACGATGGCGCACTCCTGGGTCCCCACCTGGCTGTACCGGCTGCTGACCCTCCGGATGTCAGGGGGCAGCTCCCTCCCGGGCTTGAGGATCCGCACTGACGAGATGACTCCGAAGGTCCCGAAGAGCTTGAGCAGGTGTTCCATCACCTTCTCCTGCACCCTTCCATTCTTCTGGGGCGTGGCCAGGGCCCAGAGCTTGGGGGACAGGTAGAGATCGTAGACCAGGAGCATCTTGCTTGGCAGGTTCTCGTTGGGGAAGAGCGGGACGGGGGTGGTCCTCCTCACCTTCCGGTGGTCCTCATTCAACTCGAGGCTCATCGAGTACTTCAAGGCGTGTGCTGTGGTTCTCCAGTCCCGGGTCAGGTGTTTCACCTGAAGAAGACAAACCAACCTCTGAAATGGTACCTATCGTCTTTGCCCCTCTCGTGTCCTCTATAATCTCCCTCCC